CTCTCTTCTCTGCCAGGGCGTGGCTGCCTGGGGTACGTGTGTCTGAGTGCCTAGGAGGTGAGTAGGTGGGGATGCCTGGGAGTCACCCCGATTAGCATCTTGTTTCTGGAACAAAGTTATTCAGGCCTTGCCCAACTGAGCTGCTGTGGCCCATTTCCCACCCATTCCTTTCATCACTTCTTGCCTTCTGATTGCATGTCCTGAGCATGCTGCATTTGCCAGGTACCCCTGTGCTGCTGGGGACTGATCCAGGGGTGAACGGGTGGAGGCATGAACTGACTCTCAACTGGAGTTGTTAGAAGCACTGGACCGCATTCAAGTCCTGCCTATCAACTCAGCTACGTTATCTTAGGCAAGTCACTTAGCCTCTCTGAGTCTGTTACCCGCCTGTGAAATGGGGATAATACCTTCTACTTCACTAGTCTTTAATTGGATTAATGAAATCATGGATGGGAAAATATTTTATAAGCTTTAAAATGGCAAGCGCCTACAAGGGCTGCTTATTATTGAAAAGATTTATCTTTCTCCAATGAATGGACACTGTAACTCTATCAGGTGGTGGTTTAAACTGCAGTTGTTGTTTTTTTTCAGATGTGGTTTCTGTATTAAAGCAAATCATCACAGTCTTGGCACTTTGTATTCAACTCTTGGCCTGGAAAGTGTTATTCTCTCTATCAGCTAGCGAGGACCACGAAAAACCATTGGCTGGGCAGCAATACATCTTCACTTTCTTACTGCGATTTTCTATTCTCTGTCATCATCTAATCTGTAGAGACTTTGATTATCCATAACAAAACACTGATCCACTCCATTGATGATATCATCCTGTACCTACAGAGCAGGAAAAAGCAAGCATACCAGATGTTTCGGTAAGACCCAGGCATGCTGGAAGCTGGTATATAAACCCCACGTCCAGAGGTCTGGCACCTCGGTAAAGTTTTTAGGGACCCAGAGGTTAGGAAACACCAGGTTATCCTCTCCTCGTGAAAGGCAAGTTGCTGCTCCTGTCACTAAGAAAAAATGCACAGCAACCGGTGCCCTCTTTGGGTTTGGAAGGTGATGTACACCCGTTTGTGTGTGCTGCGCCAAATTATTTACTGAGTAACCCATAAAATATCCAGTTTTGAATGAGTCCCAAAGCATATTCAGGCTGCAGTGCAACAGGCTCTGCCAACTGGAAGACTTATAACCCAGCAGATCCACTGATGCTTAAATTGTCTGTGACATAGGCAATCTGTAAGGAGCTTTCAGCAAGCCCTAATAGAAAAATCTCAGTGCCTATCCCTAGGACTTGGAACAAAGTCATGTCTTCTTCTGCAAATAACGGTTGTCCTTTTGAGAATAGTGTCTGGCTTGCTACTGGGCCCTGGTAGAGACCGAACACCTGAGCATGAGACACGAAGTGACTGTGCAACCTGAGCTGCCATCACGAACTAGGTGTCATCTGATCCCTCGAGCCATAAAGCGAGGCATGCAGTGCGGCATTCTATCATCAGGTGAAAGTGAAACAGTTCAGATTATGCCACCTATTCCTGCCACGTGGCCACCTCTTCCCCAATCGACACCTAAGGCCCAGTGGCAAATTCCCTGTGATCAACTGATGGAGGAAGAAAAAGCTCCGGCCTGGTGCCAACTGGAAATGGATGGTGGCATCACTACAGGAGTGCCGTTGGCCCTCCGTAGCCGTGTGTTCTGCATCCACGGATTCAACCAACCATAAGTCAAAAATATTCCGAAAAAAGGTTACATTGTTGCCGATGTGTAATATGTAGTTAGGCCTATGATTGGTTGCTGTTTGGGTCTGTACTGAATGTGTACAGACTATTTTCTTGTCATTATTCCCTAAACAATACAGTATAACAGCTATTTACATAACATTTATATTGTATTAGTGTAAGAAATCTAGAGGTGATTTAAAGTATAATTTTAATATGATTTAAAATACTGTGTCATTTTATATAAGTGATTTGAGCATCCTATAATATTTAAATATGATTTAAAATACTATGTTATTTTATATAAGTGATTCGAGCATCCATGGATTTTGGTATGCATGGGGGGTCCTGGAACCAATCCCCTGCCGATAACGAGGGATAACTACATACGGTTGCACAGTTTATCCAGATGGAGACAGAAGTCCAGTATTCACAGGATGGCTGGTTTGTCTGGGTGATCAGGAACATGGAAAGAGCAAGACTGGAGAATTGGTAATAAGGAGGTCTGTGGAAGAAGGTATGCGGATGGACTTCTAACAGTGGGCACAGAAGGAGAGGATATTTGTTTTCTGTGCAAAAATCCCCCCAAAAGGTATCCACTGCAGAAGTGACTCTCAATAGATGGGCGAGATGACTTGTTCTGTAGATGTCAGTCATTTCCTTTTCCCCAGCAATCCTATACTTGCTCAATGGCCTCACATACAAAATGGCCATGGTAACTGAGACCGAGTTTATCAGTGGACACAACAACATAGGCTTCCTCTCAACAAGGCTGATTTAGCTAAAACCACCACTGAGGGCCGTACTTGCACAGAATTCCTGATTCGGCACCCATTCCCTGTAAGAACCAGCCACCTGGTGGCAGGTCCATTACATCGACCTCTTCCATCAGGGAGGGAGCGCAATTTTGTATGTTCCATATGTGGATTTGCCCTCTTTGACCACACCATCCATGGACACCCTGGTTCCGGTCCTGGTATTCCATACAACATCGCTCTGACCAGAGAGTTGATATTATAGCAAAAGAAATGCAGCTGTGTGATTGATTATACCTGTGGACTTTTCTGGTCTCATCATATATTCTAATAGAAGCAGCTGGACTTACAGGACATTGAAATGACCTATCAAAGACTCCCTTATAGGGCCACCTGGAAGACACTGCAATGTTGGGGTACTGTCCTACAGGGTGCAGTATATACTTTGCATCAGCCACAGCGCTCTTTCTCCTGCGCCCAGAAAACATGGATCCAGCAATGCTGAGGCGGAAATGGGAGTGGCTACTTGACGATTGCACAAAATCACCAAAGTGTTGCTTTCCATCCCTGAAACTTTGCACTTCCATGGCTTAGAGATTATAGTTCCCAAGGGAGGACCATTTCTATTAGGGAACACATGGATTGAATTAGAAGCTGAGACTGCCACTCGGCCATTTTGAGCCCATCACACCATTGAAACTACAGGCAAAGAAGTAGGTTATTCTACTGGCTGGCATGATTGTTCCTGATCAAGGGGAAATCAGGTTGCTGCTACAGTGGTGGCATGGAAGACTGTATATGAGAACTAGAGGATTCTCTGGGTGCCCTGTCGGACTTCCACATCCCACAGTAAAAGATTAATAGAAGACCACAGCAGCCCAAGGATCACTAAAGTCCGAGTCATTTCACCAGTAAAATACTTCAACCACAAGGTCCTGGCTGAGGCCAAAGAGAACATAGACTAGCAAGTGGAAAAAGAGAAATTATAAACATCACCATGGCCTTGGACTCAATGACGGAAATGAGAGCTCTAGCAGCTACGAGGATTTCCTTTCCGATTGTGTCTGTGTGTGTATTGCATATGAGGAATGCTGGTGATGGTTAAATTTACATTTTAATCTGCATACTACAGCATACTGGGGTAGGCCTGTGATCTCTAGGACTAAAGGAAGAATGAGACGAGAACCCGACGTCACCCAGACTGCTGTTACTGACGGATGGGGCTTTGGCTCTCATTTTTGGCTAAGAGAGTATGTCCTTATTTCAGGAGAGCTGTTGGTCCTGTTGGGATAAAGCATGATGATTTTGTTCTTGAGTGGAACGTAATTATGAGTGGGAGTGGGTGGATGTCTGAGTAGCCAGAGGAGTGGACTGTGCCGGAAAGTGTCTTTGGTCTCCAAGATTTGTGCTTGCCCTGTCTTGGCCCTGGCTAGACATCTAGATGGGAAAAAAAAATAGGCAAATTTTTATATATTTTTGTAAAATAAATGAAACTATTCTCTATGTTCCACAAATTATACTCCTGATTTCATGTTCCTGGGGAATTTAAATACATTTTTCCCTCTGAGAAAATTGTGGGAGCATGTGCCCTGGGTGCCCCTTGAAAGCCTATGTATAGGTTAACATGAGCAAATGTCTGTGAACATGCTCTGTAAACTGTGAAGCACTGTGTCCAAGTGAAGTGGGTTTACGTCAAGGGCAAAGCTTTGCAAAGTCTATCCAGAAGCCATCCCTACACTCAGCAACTTGAGACCTGAACTCAACTCTCGCTAGCTCTGTGGGAGCTCTCTCTATCTCTCTGGCCCCAGCCTTTAGAAATGAGAGCTAGATGGACAACACAGGTTTAGAAATTAAAAGCAACTGCTTCTCCTGGATGCTTTATTGGGGGCTTTCAGCGGTTTCTGAGCATGAGTGGCAGTAACACCTACACCCTCTCCCAACATGCAAAAGGCACAGGAAAGTGAGACATGACCAGGGCAGGCAGCGTGGGTGCAGAGACCCGCTGCATGGCATGGTGGGGCATGTGGGGAGCTCCACGAGTGACGGGAAAGGTGGGCATTAAAGGAGATGGCTTTGGCAGAGGCACAGGGAGAGGGACTTGAGGTTCATCTGCCTCCAGATCCACCCCTGCACTTGGGCCAGGACTGACCTTCTAAGGTCAACATGGCTTTTACTGAAAGTCCACCTCACATGGTGGGAAAACTTAACTCCAGGTGGGAAGAGAATGGTGGATGCTGCCTTCAGAGATTACTGGTGAAATGCCAAACCGAACTCACTGGCCGCATCAGGAGGGGGGTAAGGGTGTGCTTGTGGTGTCGGTCCCACTCATGGCCTGGTGGTTGGATGCCACTGCCTTGGTTCCAGCCAGTGCTGTTTCAGTCCTCGTCCAGGAGAAGAATGAAGCCCCTGCCGATCTTCAGGGGCTCCCCACGGGGTCTCCGGATCTCTAGGTCCCCGCCCCCCACCACCCGGAGGTACCACTTAGAAGAGTTGAGTCTTGATGTTGGCTTTGTCCTGTGGAAGAGTTCCCTGGGCGAGAGGGAAGGGGACGAGAGGGTCAGGCCCTCCAAGCCCCCAGCACCTCCCAGAATCTGGGCCTTAGTGGGTGAAACAGCCTCGACTCACCTCAGATCCTAACCAGTCCCCACAGTTCCATCTTGAGACCTTGAAGCGAAAGAAAAGGCATTCGTGTTTTGTTTCTGCTCTCTCTCTCTCTCTCACTCTTTCTCTCCTTTAGTAGAGCCGTGGCATTGGCGACGTCTACTTCTAAACTATGGAATGTTTTCACACTGACGATAGAATTACTCTGAACGAGGGGTGGGGAGGGACTGTCCAAGTGTTCATGAAACAGTGCGTTACTGAGAGCTCACTGGGGATCACACAGCACAGAGACACCGACAGTCAGACACCAAGCCTGGGCCTGGCTCTAGATGTATTTTTTCTTGAGGTACCAGTAGGCAAAGTAGCCCATCCCGCCCAGGGAGCCCATGAGGAAGGAGGCCCCAAAGAAAGATGGCGGTTTCCTCTTGACCAGCCGGAACGCGTTGGGAATGACGGCCGACAGCAGCGTGGTATGGATGTCACCGAGGACTTTCCGGAAGGCAAAGCGCTTCTGGACCCTCTCAAAGAAGGACTGCAGGTTGGGCCGGCTGCCATCTTCCCAGTATTTCTTGGACAGTCCCAGGAACTTGAGGCGGTGCAGAGTGGCTCCCAGAAGGACGTCAGCGAGGGTGAAGGCACAGCCGCAGAGCCACAGCTCACATTTCTGCCCTAGATTAGGAGAGAGAGGAGATGGCGGGTGGAGACGGGGGCGGGGCATCAGCTTTTCTCCCCTCGTACTCTCAAATCCTCTCTCCTCGACTCCTCTGGTGTTTGTCGGCCATAGTGTCTCCCCAATGGCATTCACTCCTCTACAACTTTAATGATTTTCGCCATACTCTTATGCTACCCCTATGATCATTTTTTTTTTTTTCTTTAAACCAATTGACTTTTTAAGTGCCAGGACTGAGCTTTGGGACTTCAAGACTGAGATATTGGGCAACGAGGAGAAACCAGGGAAGGAACTTGAGAAGGAGCCGCCTGGGATGTGGGAGGTGACCCAGGAGAGTGGGGTGTCCTGGGAGTCAGAAGGAGAAAGTGTCCCAAGGGGAAGGGACTGCTCAGCTGTGCTCAGATGCTGCAGAGAGGTCAAGTAAGAGGAGGTCTGAGAATGGCGTTTGCATCTGGCAGCTGGTGACCTTGAAAAGAGCAATTGGAGTAGATGCTTGGAAAAAGTTCAAGAGAGAGGGGGAGGAAAAAAAATTGGCACTGGCAAACAATGAGCACTCCTTCAAGGAGTTTTGCTGTAAGGGGAAGGATACACTAATAATTTGAGACAAGTTAAGAGTGTTTTTGTAAGTTGGGAGGAAAAAAAAAAACATGTCAATGGCACTGATCTAGCAGAGAGGGGGAAATGATTCCACAGGAGCGAGCGGAGAGAATTACTGATGTGATGTCCTTGATTGGACGACCATGGATGGCACCTAGTACACAAGGAAAAGGACTGGTCTTAGCTAGTTGAGGACAGTTCATCTCAAGGGGGAGTGTGGGGATGCCATAGTCCATCAAGTCTAAGTTGCTGTCAAATATAAGACATCCACCTACAGAGGACAAACAATGCCAATTAAAATATTGATTGTAAGAAACATTCTAATTTCAGAGATGTTAACGTATGATTTAGCAAAGATGCATCTTAGAATTGATAAAACACAGTGTATATATGTACACTAATGGTGGTGGGTAGGTAGTTGTGGGGGTCAGAGCTGTGAAGATCTCTTTCTAATGCTTCCATTTTCTCAGTGATGTAGAAAGAAAGTGGTCAGTTGAGAGTGAAGATGTGGGCAAAGTGTCTGGAGGGTTGAAGAGAAAGGAGAGGGTACTAAGCAGTCATCTGGAGAAGGGACAGTGGGAGGCCTAGGGAAGCCGGAAGTCCATCTAAGGTTAGTGGTCATAAATTCAAAGTGAGAGCAGCCAGCACTCTGTGTGTTTCTCCAGCCATGTTCAGGTTCACAGACGCTGAGTAGGTGAACAGTTGGACTTATCCTGGCTTGAGGTTTTGCAAAGTGAGTAAGTATGATGGAGCAAGAGAGGGATAAGGGAGTAGAAGGTGCAGGCGAGGGAGAGCTCATGATAGTCAGGGAATTACTGCCAGGTACACAGGGAGGTGAGTGTGATGGGGGTGAGGCGCAGTGGACGGAGGCAGGGTCGAGGGGTGGAAGTCCCCAGCTACAGCCTGGATAAGTGTAGGCAGAATCAAGAACAGCACCAAGGACTGAGCCCCGGGGCACTCCAAGGCTTAGATACTGAGCAAAGAGAATAAACCAGCAAAGGCCCACAAGGAGGAGCAGCCTGTGTGGCGGGAGACAAACCAGGAGAATGTAGTGTTATTTCCTTAATCCTCACAACAATCCTATCAAGTAGGTGCTAGAATTATCCCTATTTTACAGATGAGGAAACAGGCACAGAGAGGTTAAGTAACTTGGTCAAAGCCACATAGCAAGTAAGTGGCAGGCAGAGCAGAGTCTGACGCAGGCTGATTCTGGAGTCTGTGCTGTAACCACGTTACGCTGCTGCTTTCGACGTGCAAATGAACGTGGACACATGCATGTATCTCTACTTACACTCAGGCCCTGTTCGATAGCTGCATTCTTTGCTTAGGTCTGTGGTGGCGCCGTCTGTGTCTGTGTTAAGCATGGTTATGCATGTCTGCTCAAATCCGTGCAGCTGATGGTGTATATGTATGTGGATATCCGCACACGTGGGCGTCTGCGTCCAAGTGGTGTGTGGATTACCACATGTATGATGTATGAAGTGTATGCCCACATCCATTTGGCCATTCGCCTGCAGACAGATGTTCGTAAGCACGTATGCACGCGTCACTCTTTAAGCACGTCCATGCCTGTGTTTGTGTTGCTAGGCTAATACTGAGCGCCTACATGTGGAACTATCTGGCATGTCCCTAGAGGGCCTGACCCCTTCCGTTCCTCCCTCCTCCAGTTGTGCGAACCCTTGGCAATCCCAGCCCTGGACGAACTCCATCTTGTGCCTTCTCCGAGTCAGCCAGCCGAGTCTGCTGGAAACAGTTACACTGACCAGTTACTCTTTAAATTCATGACCGCAAAGCCCAAGAGGGCACTCAGCACTGCCCGGTCCTGTAATAGTTCTCAAGCGGGCCCGCTTCGCCCTCTCCGTAGAGACAATTGCACATCTTCCATCTTTTCTCCTCATGCCTCATTTCTCTCTCAGCCGATGACATCACCTCTTGCTTCATTCAGAAAACAGGAGCCTTCAGACATGGAAGCCCTCACTCCCCACCATGAAACCCACAAACCCAGGCACACGCCTGTGCCTTCTGCCACGCTCCTGATACGACCGTGGGCACGATCCGCATACTCTCAGGGCCAGGCCTCTGCGGTTATCTGAATCTGTCACATGCTGCGTATCTTCCTGTCGCCTTTCTCGATCCACTGTCTTCTGTTCTCTACGCTGCTCTGTGCTCCTGGAGGACGACTGGATGGATACCCGCCCTCTGGCTCTGGCTCCGTGGGTTTCGGCCAATGGGGAGCAGTGGCAGAAGACAGGAGGGTGATGAGAGTGAGGTCAGAGTCTTCCTTCCCTCGATTTCCTCTCTGTGGGTTGCCGTGGACGGGCTCTATCTCCAGAGTGAAAGTGACAGCTCCTGTCAGGGGGCCTTCTCCACATAGCCTCTCTGTCCACGTTCTTGACACTGCTCCTACCCCTCACAACCTCAGGCCCAGGATACCACGCTTTTCCTTGTGGTTTCCCGGAATCCTGTCCACATGTTTGTAAACAGTTTCTTTATTAGGCCTGCTCCGATGTACTACCTTCGAGGTGGCCCTGTTTCCTGGAGGGGGAGGGGGGGGCTCTGCCAGAACCACACGCCCCCCCGTCCTCTCACCGACTTAGCATCTTCGGTCCTGTCATTGCTTTCCCTTTTCTACTGGGTCGTTTCTACCAGCCTGAAAACACACTCTCGTATCTCCTATCTTTAAAAAATTCCTCCCTTCACCCCACGCCCTTCTTCAGTCCCCACCCCATTTCTCTATTCCCTTCTACAGCCAGATTTCCCGAAAGAGGTGTCTATACTTGCTGTCTTCATTCTTCGCCTCCCATTCACTCTTCAGCCTTTTGCCCCCACATTCCAGTGAAATTGCCCTTAGCGAGGTCACCACCAGCAGCCATGGAACGAAATCCAGGGGGGGCTTTCCTATCCTTGGTTTACGCAGCCTCCCAGCACACTTTCTGGGTTCCTAGGACCTGGGGTCGTCCTGCCTCACTGGCCACTCCATCGCAGTCAACTTTGTCTGCTTCTCTGCTTCTACCCGTCTCTCAATGTGGGAGACCTCAGGGCAGCGGTGGGATTTTAAAATATGCCTTCAGATATTCTTCCCTTTGGTGGAGCCTAATTTTCCTCCCCTTGAATATGGGTTGTATTTCATGATTTGCTTCTGAGGAAGAGAATGTGGCAGAAGTGATAGTGGCTTCCAATGGTAGGTCATATAAAGCATTGTGGCTTCTGCTCGCTCTTCCATTCTGGGATCACTCGTTCAGGGGGAAGTCAGCTGCCGCGTTGTAATGAAACTCAAGCAGCCCTGTTGAGATGCCCGTGTGGTGAGGAGCCGAGGTCTCCTGCCAGCAGGCAGTCGGGGAACTGAGACCTCTAGTGAAGAGCCCTGTGAATGAGCCATCTTGGAAGCTGATCCTCCAGCTCTAAGGTCTGCAGCCCCAGCCAACAACTGGACTGCAGCCTGCACCACACAGCCCCGATTAGAAGCACCCAGCTAAGCTGCTCCAGAATTCCTGATCCACAGAGAATGGGTGATACAGGAAATGTTTTCTGCTTAAGCTACCAAGTTCAGGAGCGGTTTGTTACATAACAATAGATAACTAATACGGCAGGTCTCAATCTCTCTCTCCACTCTCCTAGATGAAATTATCCAATTCTATGGCCTTGAGCGCCAAATATATGCTGAAGATTCGCAAGTCTCTATCTCCTTTGAAAGTGACACTAGAATATCTAATGGCTTATGTGACATCTCCCCTTGGGTGTCTCAAAGGCACTTCAAACTCACTGTGTCTCAAACTGAACACCTGGGACGCTTTCGCCCATATCTATATCTGGAAGTGGCTTCATTTAGGGTCTTAACTGTGACATTATCAGACCTCCTAGCCCTTGGCTCTGCCCCACAAGGAGAGAAGTGGAGGGTGTGAGCATTCCCCCCAGAAGGTTTGAGGACACCCTGCTGGGTAAATGAGTGACAGAGACCATGTGGGCCCAGCCAGTCAGAACTTTAAAACTCATAGGCACTTCCCTGGGCCTCTGCTGCCACCTGCAGCCCCAAAAGGACACAAGGTCTGCCCGCACCTCTCCACGTTAATCAGCCCCAGCCATGTGGTCATGGGGCAGTGCAGTGCTGCCTGTTGGAAGACCTCAGGACAAAACAGGACAGGAGCCTCCCAGGCTAGGATCACCTGAGGACTGCCTATCCACAGAAATTCTCCAGGACCATCGACTCTGGCCTCCACCCAGGTCAGACCCTGCATCGGCCTTAATTACAACAGCAGCTAATATTTGCAGACGCTTCCATACCATATGCCGGGCAATGTACTGAGGCCCCTACATGCATTTTCTCACTGATCCTCACAACGGCCCTTTTACCAAACGGAAGAGGCACCATAACTAGTGCTTAAGAACTCGACTCTGGGAGCCAGCGTTTGAATCTTGGCTCCACCACTTCTATTTGTGTGACCTTGGGAAGGTCACCAAACCTCTCTGTGCCTTAATTTTTTCACCTGTTAAATGGGGTTACTCATATTACCTACCTCCTGGAGTTGTTATGGGGATTAAATGAATTAAAATATATGAAACACTTAGGATAGTGCCTGACACACAGTAAGTGTCGTTAAATATATAAATTGTTATGGGCCGAATTGTCCTCCCACCTATATTCCTATGTTGAAGCCTTAACCCTGTAGTATCTCAGACTGACTGTATTTAGAGGAAGGGCCTTTAAAGTGGTGAGTAAGTTAGAATGAGGTGGTTAGGGTGGGCCCTAATCCAATCTGACTGGGGTCCTTATAAGAAGAGGACGTTTTGCTTCAGAGACGCCAGGTGTGCACACATAGAGGAAAGACAGCGAGGATGCGGCCATCTCTAAGCCAAAGACAGGGGCCTCAGGAGGAACCAAACCTGCCAACACCTAGATCTTAGGGTCCCAGCCCCCAGAACTGTGAGAAAACAAGTCTCTGTTGTTTCAACCATGCAGTCTGTGGTATTTTCTTATGGCAGCCCTACAAAATTAATGCATAAATATATAAGATAGACCTGAGAATTAAAGTCACCCAGTGAGAGAATGGCAGGGCTGGGACTCTGTCTGACCCCAAAGGCCAGTCTTGGAACCACCATGCCGTTTGGCCCCTGAGCACTCTTTAGTAATTGCTCCCTTCGGCACCCTCACTGATGGAAACGAGAAAGTTCCTCTTGAGGTCTGTGTTATTCTTCCTCAGTTAGCTGTTATCATGCTTTTTTTCTAGAGAGGATTGAAGGCGGCTGGCTTCAGTACACATGCTAATGTCTCTGCTCAGGCTTGAGGTATCTGTGTGTGCCTGGCGCCCAGGCCTCAGTTGTGAGATGCTGGAAGAACACTGGACCCATCGAGAGGGAACCTGTGCTTGCCTTAACTATGCTATTCACAAGCTGCGTGACCTTGAGCAAGTCACCTCACCTCTCTGAGCCTCAGTTTTCTCATCTGGAGAATTAGCTGTCATATGTGTTAAACTAGTATGTTCCAGGCACTGTGCCGAGTGCTTTTAATTTTTACAAGAGTCCAACGAGGGGGGGTTAAGGTTTTAAGCTGCATTATTATCATTCCATTTTACAAATGAGGAAACTGAGGCTCCGATAGGGAGAGCAACTTGTCCAAGTCACACGGTGCAGGCAGCAAAGCTGGAACTCTCACTCGAATCTGTCTGACTCTAAACCCATCTTTTAGAACACTGTGCTCCGCAACTTTCCGAGGTACACACAGTAGATGTGTGTATGTGTAGCCTTGGGTGTAGCAGCACATGTGGCATAGGCTCCATAAATGTGTATAGTTGAATAAACAAGATAACAGGCAGCCTAGAACAGAGCAAGGGGAAGGTACAGAATGACGTTCGAAGAAGGGCTGTGGCAAAGATGGTATGTCAAAGGAAAAAGGAGCCGGGTGGTGTCAAGAGGGTGCTCCGGGTTGGAAGAACTGCAGGGGCAAAGGTGCGGAGGTGGGAATGAAGCTGGTGTGCTCAGGGGCCAGAGAACAGATAGAGTCAAGGTCAGAGTCTGCGTGAGCCTGGATGTCTGGCTGCAGCATGAATAAGCCGTAATACATCCTTGAGCAGGGGAAAGGTCACCATCACCACCATCATTATCACCTTCACCAACCTTTATTAAACGCCAATATGTGCTACGGACTGATCTAAGCACTCTACATGTATTATTTCATGCAATGTCTCAGTATTTCTCTGAGGTAGGTCTTTTTACTATCCCCATTTTATAGATGGAAACTAAGGTCAAGGGAGATGAAGTACTTGACCCATGGTCACTCGACTAGTGAGTGGCCAAGCTAGGACTTAAACTTAGGTCTTCCGACTCCATGACCCACAATCCTAACCACCTGGGAGGTCCTCTGAGATCTTTTGAAAAAAAGGTTGTGACTGGGCAGGGTCAGGGTGGGTTGGATGGGTGCCAGCATCCACCCACCCCAGGATTGGTACCCACCCTCGTTCTCAAGCTTCCTCTTCTCCAGCTCGGCCTCAATCTGGTCCAGCACCATGGCCAGCTCTCCAAGGATCTTCTTCAGGTAGCTCACATCGTCATGCTCCAGGATCTTGGCCTGGGGGTAGGATAGGCAGGAGTAGAGGAGCTGAGTTGGTTTCAATAGAGCTGGGATGACTAGAGCTTGGCGTAACCCCCTTCTGCAAACCCAGCATCCAAATATCCTCTCAAGAGTATAGGATGCCATGAAGGTATAAAGTGCCCTCATCTGGCACTCGCAACGGTCCTGTGAGCTTGGCTGTCCTGCTCAGATCCCTTTCATGGGGCTGGTACTCTCATATACCAGCTGCTGTGAGAGTTGGTTGATAGTAGCTCATAGCTGCCCCTTCTCCAGAGAATTGCTCTTGGCCAATAAAAAGCAGTCCAAAAATACTCGGGAGGTTATCCCACACCTTTCAGCCCTTCAACCCCTCTGCCAGGCAATCTGTAGCCAATGACTGACTAGGGATATAAAAGGTTGGTCCCTTGCCTCAAGGTGAGTCGACTATATGGTGCCACTTACGCTCAAGAGCTCCCTGCGGGATCAGGTGAACTTGGCCCCTTCCTTTTTTCTACCCCTCCCATCCTTACTGGGTTCTCCTCAGAGCACTCCCTCAGTACCACACTTACCCAAGAACTTCTGCTCAATGCTCTGCTTTTAGAGACATAACCCAAGACATGAGGAAACTGAGGCTCCAGGGGGACAGTGGCTTGCCCAAGGCCAAATAGCCGATAAATGACAGAGGATTGGAAAAGAAAGCCAGCGGATTTTCCATTTCTTGTTAGCAGCTGATCCTCTATTAGAACCAGCTTCTCCTTGTTCTTTTTCGTGGAAAAGATGGTGAGAAACAGAGATGAGCAGGCTTGGAGGCACTCACCATGAGCTTCTTCTGTTTAGAAAGGTAGGGCTCAGAGAGCTGGGGTTCTTCTTCATGGTCCAATTTCATGAGGTCCGTGGTGGCATTGGCTAAATGTCCTGGGGAAAGAATAGGAAAGCTCTTGTCCTTTTGATACCCAGTGTCACCGCATCCCTTCCCCCACAAACTTGGAGTGGGTCCCATCCAAACACTGGTCTGGGAACTAACGCTATCGAGAGCTAGCACTTAGTAGGCATAACAGGCTGCAACATAGGGATGGATGAGACGCCATCCTGCCCTAGGCTCAGGATAGTGGGAGAGACAGACACATAAGGAAATCTCTATGACCCAGCAGGATCAATGTGCAACGAAGGGTGAAACAAAATGCTGTGGCACCCAGAGGGCCAGCTGCCTGAGGCACAGGCATCAAGAAACCTCACTGAGGACACTACTCTTGGGGATGAGTAGTTTTCCAGAAATGGATGTAACTCTAGACTTGAACAAGCTCACCTTTCAGCGAGTGTCTCTCCCAACCCTCCTCTGCAGTGTGGAAATAGGTTCAGAGGGGCTAAATAACATTCCACACTAGGAAATGACAAACAGGTTTTGAACCTGGATCTGCCTGATTCTTGGCCCAGTTCTCACTCACTACCCACAAGGAAAAACGTGTTCATTGCAAGAAAAACTGTAAGAGACCTTTGGTGTCCTGAAACTTCCACCTCTGGTGGAGCAAGTTCCCTGAAGATTTAGGGACTTGGTGAACCATCTTTCCCAGGAAAACTGGCCTTGATGCCACAAAGGCAGGGGTGACAGAAAGTGGGCCCATGATGGACTTCAAGCCACACCTTGAAAATTATTCCTGATGGGAAAGAGGAAGTGCCCTATCATCTAACTTTGAAAAATCTTTGAAAGTCTAACTGTAAACTGTGGGTTTTACAAGAGAAAAATATAAATTTTCTCGTATTTCACTTCTCCCTTTCAATCCTCTGACTATCCCTGTTAATCTCTTGCCTGGATGATGTTGACTCACCCCCTGTCACCTGCACTCTCTTCCCTTCAAGCCCTTTTCCCCATTTCTGCCAGAGAGATCTTCAAATATACATTTGACCGTGCCACCCCCTGCTTAAAATCCATCCCTGGGTCCTCACAGCCCTCAGCTAATATCTAAGCTTCTCAACTTGCCTTAAAAGACCCAGCGGGATCCACTCTCCTCTCTCCTCACTAACTCCATATTTCACTGAGTTCCTGCAACTGTCCCTGTCTTCAGATGGCAACATTTCAGCCACTCCAAATGCTTGCCATTCCCTGAAAATGCCCTTCGAGATCCAGCTCAAGATCACCTCCTCCTTGAAGCCTGATCCCCTAGAAGTTCTGACCACTCCATCCGTGCCTTTGTCCTCCAGTGTATACCGTACAGAATTCTGTCAGAGAATTCAAACACACTAGTTAGAGGTGCCATTGCACAACTCCATTCACACTGTAGTCTATGTGAAAAGCGACCCCCGATTTGTGCAGTGTACAACCTGTACTGCTGTACATGGAGACTTTGATGCTAATGTACTTATTTCTGGATGTATATGTCTCCCACTAGAATCTGAGCTTCTGGAGAGTAGCAGCTATGTCAGATTCATCTCTGTTCTCTTATTATTTTTTAGGTGAGGCAACCCTCGGTTGACCTCACAGATTGCCAAGGACCTTGTCAGCTTATAATCCCTTATTTTTTTTTATTTTTTATACCTACAGCACCTGGTCTTTCTAGGTGGTCTCCCATCCAAGTGCTAACCAGGCCCGAGGATTGGGCTTGGTCAGGGTGGCATGGCCGTAGACTATCTCTGTTCTCTTAAAACCCAGTACAGACTTGGCAGAGAACATGAATGTTGAATGAATGAATGAATGAATGAATGAATGGAACGAGTGAGCAAATGAGTGACAAAAGTTGTTCGGCTCCTCCCTCTGAGACTTCACCGTTCACCACCCTATCTCCTGGCCTGATAGAAACCCAATAAACACATTTCCAGATCTTTTAGTCTATGTGAAAAGTGACCCCTGGATTTGTGCTATATTAAGCCTCATTGATGTTTTATAAATGTGAAGGTCAAGTAGAGCATCTTCTCTCTTGCCAGTCACCGGAGCTGCCTATGTGGCTCTCTTTAGACTCAAAGAGGGCAAACCAGGCCACGGGGAGCAACCTTGGACTGACTGGAGGGTCACTGCAGGATGATTGGAGGGTTCTGCATCTTGTGAGATCTCTGCTCCCTCCTCCCCAGCTAGGCTGGAGCCCTGAGATCCTCTCTGTCTCCTCAAAGGAGGAGGCAGGCTGAGTCTACTGTGGACCCCTTACTGCCTTCTAGGCACATTCGCATGGCTCAGGGAAGGAGGGGGAATGCCTCCAGCCCCCAGAAACACTTAAGGACTGCCGCCACCTAGTCCAGGCCACATTATTGCTCGACTGGATGATAGTCAGGGTGTCCTAACTGCTCCACCCATCCTTCCCTTCTCTCACTTGAGTGATCTTTGTAAATGCAGATCCGAGCATGTCACTTCTCATCACTGTTTCTCCACTGCTCTTTGGATAAAATTCCATTTCTGCCAGACCTACTCCCCAGGCTCACACCACAACCACTTGCACGCCCTTGGGCTACACTTCAACCACTGAACTTCCTTCAGTTCCCAGAACACAGCACCCCTTCTCCCACCCTTGAACCTGAAAGGATTCTCCCTCCCCTTCTCCTTCTAACTCCTGGTCATCCTTGCATGTTGCTGCATTTCAGATTCCTTCCACCACCCTGGAGGGCATCTTCTATGGTCCCACAGCCTCCATGCTCCCCTTATCATACCACTAATAGATACTAGATTAAAATTTTAAAAATTCATTTGATTTTGAACAGGTTATGCCTGCATACTTGTTTAAAAATTCAATCAACATTAAAGAAAGCACAGTAAAGAGTAAATCTCTCTCCTCTCAATCTGTAGTCCCTTAGTTCTGTTCTCCCACAGCAAGCACTATTGGCCGCTTCTCGTGCATCCTTCCAGAAACACTTCGAACTTTTACAAGCACCTGTGTATCCACTTAACCCCTTCTAAAATATATTAACGATGGCACGCTAGATGCATTTTTTGCCTTCACTTTTTTCCTACTCACTAACATATCTTAGAGGGTATTCCAAAGGCTTAGTAGTTTTTAAACTGCGGCACAGCATTCCATTGTATGGGAGTACTAGAATTTATGTACCCAGTTTCCCAACTCATGGACAGCTGCATATTTCCAACCTCTTGCTATTACCATTTATGCTGCAATGAATGTCTTCAAACTTCTTGGTGCACACATCCAGTGTAACTGCAGGAGAATCTCCAAGGTGTGGGTCTTTTTATGCCAGACCACCCTCCTGTGAGGTTGTTCACATGTACTTGGTCTCACACTGTAATTACCTAGTTACTTATCTTTCTACTTCCATGGAACTATGACCCTGGGATGGTAGAAGCTGTGTCTTCCCCATCTGTCCCTTGTCCCCTGACCAGGGCCTGGGACGTAAGAAACCTCATAAACGTTATTCACTGAATGGGGACGAGACTATATAGATCAATTCTGATTCTTGTTTGAGGATACTTTAAGGGGACGAGATTGAGTTCCACAGCCCGTACCCTTCCCACCTCCGAACATCCGCCTGACTCCTTTGCGAGGTAGGAAGTGACCATTTACTGAGCACCTATTTTCTACTTAGAATCATCCCTTCTCGTCTGTCTATAGGATCCCATGGTGTCTGCACAGAGCCTGGACCAAAGTCTGTAGACAGTTGCCGATGGGTAACTTGATTTAATCCAATCCCCATTAACTGGGTGCTGGAAACAAAAGGATGAACTAGGCCATGGGCTGGCAGTTAGGACAGTACATTGGTGATGCTTGAATCAGAAATCAGGGCATATCTGACTTCTTGCCATATCTGGGCAGCCTTCCTTGGTGACGCCAACCCTGATGTCACTCAGTGCCCTGGGATACCAACCACAGCTCTGACCTCTCTGGACCTCTGACCTAGGTGTCTGGAGTTGGGACTCCTGTGGGGAGGTGGCCCAGCTCCTCATGGACGAGACAAGCCTCTGCGGAGCCTCCGTACGGGATAGCAGGACAAGAGAAGGGGCCAGGCGAGGGGAGTGGGGAGAGACACTACCGGAGAGGGACAGACCTATTCAGTGCCAAACAGGATGAATGAGACGGAAGGTCCGAGGGAGCGGTGGAGAGAAAGCAAGCATGAGGCAGAGCAGGAGAGAGAGAGAGAGAGAGAGACCGAGAGAGATTGAGAGAGATTTACAGAGACAGAAAGAGAGAGGCAGAGACAGGAAGAGGGAAAGAAGGAAGGAAAAGGAGAGTAAGAGACATGAGTGAGAGCGAGAGGAGGAGGGGGGAGGATTCCCACCGAGAGGCCAAGAAGGGGTCAGTCAGGGGGCTGGTGCGCCCCACGCCAGGTACTCACTGCGGATCTCGGCCGTGGCATACTTGGGGATCATGGAGTCCGTGGTGAGCTCGGGGTGCAGGATACAGCCGTGTGTGTAGGCGTCCATGGGCAGCGCATCCAGCAGCTCACGGTACTGCAGCACCCGCGCGTGCTGCGGGCTGCCCACCTCGGGCATCAGGGCCACCACATGCTCTGCGAGGCACAGCTGGGACTAGACTGGGGGCGCAGGCCCTGCCTCGGCCACCTGCCCCCGATTCAGAGAGGACAGCTTCTGGCACCCTATATACCCCGACCCCAGCATCCTGGAACCCCAAAATGTCATGGCTCGGCAGTCCCTGGCCCATCTCCTTTCCTGGACTCCTTGAAATAAAGTCCCCACCCAACTGACGGGGGTCCTAGTGGTCCAGCCTGCCTACCTGGTCTCACTGGAGCCCTCCGAGCTGTCCCCTGACAGACTTCAAGAGAAGCTGGAAACCTGGATGTCCAAAACTAAACTCTCCTGGATTTTGAAAAGGTGGCAACTAATTCATATTCTTTTTAAACGGTGCATGTCTAGGCCCTGATCCCCTCTCAGCTGCTGTCTGCAGCTCTGCCATGGGCAGGGAGCTCCTGAATGGAGCAAGGCCAGAGGGAGGAAGAGAGAAGGGGGCATAGGGCTCTGCGGGGTTCTGCTCCTGGCTGCAGGGTTCTAGGTTCATGTCTGTGGGTTTCCTGGAAGTCTATAACCCTGACTATGCTTACAGGGCTCCAGGGGGCTAGGCCTGTGGGTACCCTGGCATCCCTGGGAGATCTAGGCCCTGTCTGTGGGGATTTAGAAGGGAGCCTGGGTCTTGCTCATGCCTGAGGGGCTCCCAACCATCTGTGGCCATGCCTGTGACATGGCCTCTAGAGTTCTTGGGGAAGGAGGCTATAGCACCAGAGCTCCAAAGGGGGCGGTGTCTGTTCTTTTCCAAGAGTACTAGGGAGTGGGGGTGGTCTGTGGGATCTCCAGGGATCTGGGACTATGCAGTTCCTAGAGGGCATTTGAGCCCTGCCTGTAGCCCCGTGGTTCCTTCTGTGGGAGACTGGGCCTTGCTCATGGCCCCGGTGGGTTTCCCCAGGTTTTCCCAGGCTTCCCAAGGCCACGGGACCCTGTCTGGGCCTGGGGGGCCCCTGGTGGCTGTGGCAGCTGTACCTCCTGTGAAAGTGCGCTCCACGTAGTCGATGATCTGGTCGTAGTCACTGATGATGTTGTCACGGTGGATGATGACAGGTACCTCCTCGCCCAGGTTGAGCCGCATGAACCAGGGCTCCTTGTGCTCACTCTGCGGCAGGCTCACGTCCCGCTCGTCACAGGCCAGGCCCTTCTCCGCGATCACCAGCCGCACCTGCAGGCGCCAGGGTCAGAGAGGGGAAGGCGGGCGGACACACGGGGACACTCTGCCCAGGTGGGATGGAGCATATGGGGGAGGGAGGTCAGAGGTCACATACAGGAGGGGACACTGTTGCTTCTAACCCATTCTTGGGCAGCTGGGTAGGGGGCTATCTCTCAGGGGTCTGGGGCCTGGAGCTGGGTTTCACGGCTGGACGTGCTCGGGACAGAATTCCTGTTTCCGCTGTGTGAGTTTGGGCAGATTCCTTAAACCTTATGAGTTTCAGTTTCCTTATTTGCAAAATGGAAGTATTAATAGTACCAACTCAGTGTCTTGTATATAAATGGCACTTGATTCACAATTACCATTAGCATGATTGGGCTCTCGACCTGGCCTCTGGGGCTGGAGTTGGCCAGGAAATTTGCAGAAATTCTTATCATCATCAGCTAAACTTTTCAAATTATTTGAGAAACAAAATGAGGTGAAAAGTAATTTGCTAATATAGGTTGAGCCACCCCCAAACAACTTCGCATCTGGTTGTTAGATGCTCACAATTGCCCCCGAGAGGTGAGCAGAACAGAAACTAACTTCCTGTTTTTCGTGATGAGAAAACTGAAGCCCAGGGAGGGTGAGTAACTTACCCAAAGTTACACAGCAATTTAACAGCAGACCTAAACCTGGAAGCACTGGTTCCTGACTCCCAGACCAGTGCTCTCTGCCCTGGGGGCTGCTTCCAGGGAGTCCTGGGCCTGCCTGCTCCTTAGTCTCCCCCTACATCTCTAGGGGTTCACAGACAAACGTTTTAGCCAGTAGAAGCCAATGGAGAATCTTGAGGCTAGGGCATGTCCTGACCCAGTCCAACATTTCTGAGCTGGAAGACAGCGATCACCTAGTCCAATGTTCCCCTTCCTGTGGACTGAGACTCAGAAAGAAGGCGGCACTTGTCCAAGTTCCCCCAGCAAAAAGATGGCAAGTGACTCCACCCCTTCTGAGCATCAATATCCCCACACACCCAGGTGGAAGCTCTGGGGACTGGGCATCCCGAGCCTCCCTCCCGGAGGCCGCAAGTTAAAAACCCAGAAGGGGCAGCATGGGGTCATGTTCAGAAGCTTTGACTGGGTACCAGACTGTGTCAATTCAGATCCCAGCTTTAGCACTTACTCGTTGGATGACTTGGCTTAACTAATAGCTTTACATCTGTGTGCCTCAGTTTCCTCACCTGTCCAAGGAGAGTTTCACTAGCAATTCCCTCAGAGGGCTGATGTGAGAATTATATAATTAGTCCTTGCGGAATGGTGTCCAGCATACAGTAGAGGTAATGTGCCTTAGCTACCTGCATTAGAGTAGGTTTTGGAGTTAGACAGACCTGGACTTGAAGCCTGGGCCTACTGTTTCTTTGCTGTGTGACCTTGGGCAAGTCACTTGACCTCTCTGATCCCTAGTTTCTGTGAAATGAGGACTATAATCACTCCTTCAAGGCTGGCTTGAGGTTGAGATGGGATGATGTGGGTAAAGTTCTAGCGCAGGAAGTTAGTACATGGATTCTAACATCACCATTATCACACAGATACACATGCACACACAGACTACCCTGTACCCCCGGTTGATGTCCTAGCATGCTTTATGCCCCGAGCTCACAGCTAACGAGAACACCCTCTCCTGTTCGGTGAACTGTTGGGAGGGAGAGATAATTAGTTCCCAAACCCACAACTCTCATTTGCAGATTCATTTGCTCCATTAGCCAAAAGCAGGTCCTGCAGATGGCACTGGGAGGCAGGCACCCAGGTCCTCACCCTAGCTCTGCCATGGCGACGCCGTGTGACCTTAGAGCTATCACTGACCTTTCCTGAGCCTCCTCTTTCTCATTAGTAAAACGAGAGGCTGCAGCCCTGCTGGGAGCTGATGCTACATTCAGACCACGCAAGAGACAGGGCTGAGGGAGGGAACTTCTGTGTTGGTCTGAGACAGGGAAGAACTGTCGCAGAGAGTGAGCTCCTGGGGGTGGCATCTGTTGGGTCTGGGTGTGTCAGTGTGTGAGTGTGATTGCCTGAGTGTAAGTGGCGACTGCGTGAATGAGCAAATGTATGTGCATGTCTGTGTGTGCATACGCGTGCATGAGTGTGGGAACGTATGGATGAGTGTACCAGTAGGTGTAAATATTCAAGTACTGTGTGAGCGCCTGTGTGTGTGTATATTTGAGCTCATGGGTGGTGACTGTGCCCTGGAGAAGCCCCAGAGCAGTTGAGCCTGGAGTTCATCTGAAGCCAAACCACCCCATTCCCTTCCTGCCTATCCTGGCATCCTCCTGCCTCAGAGATCAGGCTCCGCCCAGTCATCCAGCCTCTGGGCCAAATCGGGGCCTCTGAATGGATGGAAACAGAAACCAAACTAAGCCTTTGCCCTTGGCAGGTCCAGACATCTGGACTCTGTCCGTCAGGGCACCTGCCCCCCGGGACCACTCCCAGCCCCTGCTCTGGGACTCCAGTGAGGATGCCACATGGGGACGCTCCCTGGGGAGGGGACTATCTTTAGAGGCATAACAGCCCTGCTTGGAGCTGCCTCAGGTCATGTCGGCAACTGGCCAAGGAGACTTTCTCCTTTAGCTCAGCTGCAGGCCAGAGCCATGTGCCATCCTGCGGGGGAAGGGTGTATGGGAGGAAGCCAGGCCCAAGGGAAGGGCATGCAGTCACCAAGGCCATCTGCCATCTCTGCCTCCTGGGAGCTGGACCAGACTTAGGTGGGCACCACTCAGTATGAGCAGATATCAACCATCTCTGGTCAAGCTGCCTTCCCTGTGGCTGCCTGAAATTCCACCGATAGATGTTTCATTGTCATGGTCAGGCACTCTCTCTCCTCACCCAAGCCCCTGTTTACGAGGCAACTGTGATGGGTTGGGTTGATGTCTCTTCCCAGCCATTAGTTGCTGTGTGACTTTGTAAAAGATACTTAGAGTCTCTGAGCCTTAGTTTACTTATCTCAAATACCTTAGTTTTAATTAATAAACTTTGTTTCTTAGTGCAGTTTTAGGTTTACAGAATCAAATACTCTTTTTTTTTTTTTAACATAACACATATGGCTTATGAATTCATCACTTTCCAACATTTATTTATCAAGTGGCTACTCTGCTAGGTCCTGTTTTAAGCATGGAAGACTCAGCAGTGAACAAAGATCCCGGCAGACAAATGATAGGCAGTTAAAATGATAGGGTATGTCAAAAGATGATGAGCATATCAGAAAAAAGAAAAAATTACAACAGAGTAAGGGGAATTGGGGATGCCAGAGGATCAAGGAGACAGGTGACAATCTTAAATAGGGAGATCTCTCGGGGCTGGCCTCTCTGAGAAGGTGACCTTTGAGCAAAGGCTTGAATGAAGTGAGGGAGTGGTCCACAAAGGGGTCTTGGGAAGATTGTTTCAAGCAGAAGGACAGCCAGTGCAAAGGCCCTGGGTCAGGAGCATGTCTGAAGTGTTTAAAAAGGCCGTGTGAGGAGCCCAGCATGGCTGGAGCAGGGCGGACGGGGGAGAAGAGAAGAGAGGAGGTCAGAATGATCATGCACAGGGACTTATAATCGAGACTCCCAGACCCAGGAGTCCACGAATAAATTCAGGGAGTCCTTGAACTAGGATGGAAAAATTACATGTTTATTTTCAGAAATCTCAAACTGACATGTAGCTTTTTCTTCAAGTTTGAGTGCAGCATGGTAGTGTTAGCAGGGCCTGTTATCTTGTCACCACTAGGAATCAGATGTTTTCATTACTTCACAATTGTTGCAGTTAAACTCATCACAAGTTCAACATCACAGTAGTTACCAGTCCTGCCGCTACATCATGTTATAGAATGGGTTAATATGGAAACATACGTCATTATATAGCAAATTGTTTTAAAAATATGTCATTGGTTTCCCTTCTAGTCTGATAATCTTATGTATTTTATTATATTCAATTAAAAGCATTATTCTGAAAAGGTCCACAGGCTTCCCGAGATTGATGAGGGGTCAGGGTCTGAGGCCATTATGAAAAAAGCTCTGGCTTTTTCCCTGAGGGACGTGGGAAGCCACTGCAGAGTGGTGAGATCTGCAGTTCTCACCTGTGGGCCTTCTGGGGTGGGCTAAATGGTCAAGTACAGACGTATGGACAGGTCTGGAGGCCAGTGCGCAAGAGCTTGAAAGGCAAGGCCAGGGTGGGAGGTAGAAGTCATTGCCATGTCTAGGAGAACTCTGGGAGACCTGCTCTGTCTTGGGTATTAGGACTGGCCCCTGGCAGTGCCCAGACCTAGGCTTCTGATTCCTGGTAGCCAAAAGCTGGGCCAGGGGCTCCACATAGGTACATCCAAAACAAGGGCAGAGCCTGAGAGGATGCGGTAAGGGAACCTTGAACCGGGTTTTGCTGTGGGGAGCCAGGGATGGTTCTCTGAGACTCACCCTGGTGGAAATAACAACATTCATAATAGCTAACTCTTACATAGCACTCTTCTGAGACTTTTACATGTATTAACTCATTAATCCTTACAAAAACCTAATGAGGTAGGTACTAGCATTATGCTCATTTTATAAGAGTAAACAGGTGCACAGGTAGTAAGTAGCAATATTGATTTTTTTTTTGATTGGCTGGCATGAGGACAGAAGGATTCTCAGAGGGCTGGAGGCACACAGAGAGATAGGACAGTTCTTCCTGCCTAGCGACAGAGGGAGGCAGTTTGTATCAAACATGTCCATTTTCCTGTTGTGGAAACTGAGGACCAGAGAGAGGCAGGGCTTACTTGAGGTCAGACAGCCAGTGAGTGGGAGCGCCAGCTCTAGAATGCTCATCTCTTGCCTCTCTGCATTCTTTGCCCCTCCAAACCTCATCTTCCCAAAGTAGAAGGGGCAGGAGGCAGGAACAGCCTCAGAAGCACCCTAACATCTACATCAAATGATCACTTGTGAAATTTCACTATCAGCATGCACTTTTCTAAGGCATTGAGCTAAGTGTGTGACCATGTACATCATTCAATCTTCACAACCCTCTGCATACTTCTAAGCATATGAGGGACCTGAGACTTAACAGAGGTGAAGACACTTGCACAAAGTCACTGAGCTGGAAAGTGGCAACTTTGACCTCATATCTGATAAGCGTAAGTACACTTACTGAGCACTTGCTATATTCCAGGTGCTGTGCTAGGTGATTTACACAGATTTATTTGCTGAATCCTCACAAGGACCCTATTGGGGAGGCACTATTAATATTTTCAATTTACAGATGTGGCAAGTGAGATATGGAGGTTAAGCAACCTGCCCACGATTACCCAGCTGGTCAGTGACGGGGCCGAGATTGAAGCCTGGGCAGTTTGGCCACAGAGTCTGGGCTCTGCACCCCTCCCTGCCCTGTTGCCCTCCAGCTCTGGAGTAGTCCCCAGATGCCCCATGAAGCCACCACCATGCCTGAGGGTGGGCTATTTCTGCTACTAATAGTTCATGTGCCATTAAGGACAGACTTCTCATGTGCTCCACATGCTACTGGTGTATAGGCAAGGCCCTTCAGGATTGAAAGGAAGGAAGGAAACTCACTGGCTAAGCTCCTACTACATGCCAGGCACTTAATATGTGTCCATGTCCTCTCAATTCCCCGAGAATTCTGCAGGGTAGTCCCCTTTTACAGATGCACGTGTTGAGGCATAGAGAAGTGAACTGACTTGTCAAATGTCACACAGCCAGTAGCACCCAAGATGAGCCTGGAACTCAAGACTATCTGACTGTAAAGCCCATGCCCTTTCTGCCAGGTTACATGGCCTCTAGAATCCACCATGGGCCTTTGGGCAGGAGGAAGACCCTGGATGGTATGGTCAGAGGCTTGGTCACAAATTGAGTTGCAGTGAGTGGTCTCATCCTGACTAATGGACCACCTTGGCCCTGAGCTCGGGCTGAATAAAAAATAGTCTCTTGGAGGAAGTGCAGGAGGCTCTCTCCGGGCATGGTAATGGGGAATGCCATCCCTCTGCCTCCCATCCAGTCCCAGCCACTGGGTCTGGTTCCTGAGGTTCTGGGTGGGAGGAGATTCTGGCATCTGGAGGTCAGACTGATTCATCTCTAGACCCCCAGCAACTTGCATAGAGCCTGGCACACAGCAGGTGTTCAGCACGCATATGTAACATTCATGGACAAATCCCAGTGTGACCTTGGTTAACCTGACCTCTCCTTTACCTGGCACTTCAGCGACATCATAATATCCATTATTAGAGGCTTGGCTCTGTGCCAGGCACTGCCATCAGCACTTTTTGTGCATCATCCCATTTCACCACAATAGCCCTCTGAGGTAGGCACTGCCATTAGTTCCATTTTACAGATTATAGAACTGAGGCTTTGGAGAGGCGAAGTGATCTGTCCAAAGCCCCACAGTAAGTTTTTTGGAGAAGATGACTCTTCCACTGGGGATAGTTTGGCTTCAGAGTTCATACTCTAAACTGGGGTTACTCAGAGGGAGATGATTGGACCAGCTTCATCAACATCACCTGGTAGCTTCTAAGAAATGTAGCATCTTGGGCCTCACGCCAGAGCTACTGAGTCAGAATATCTGGGGTGGGACCCAGCCATCTGTGCTTTAACCAGGATCGTGCAGTGATTACAATGCACACTCAAGTTTGACTAGTCCGCATCTAGAACGCTAAGTTATACCACCTCTTCAACAACCCTCTCATTAGTACTGAAAGGGGTTGGAATTCGACGAGGTAGCTATTGTTATTATCATTATCCCACTTTCCGGATGATGAAACTGAGCCTGGACCAAGACTGAAACCCGTCTTTTGGTCCCAGGGCTCTTTCTCTTTACAGACACCGTTTCTCCATCTGGAAAATGAGTGAATGCAACGAAAGGATCTTCCAGAGAGAGGAGTCCGAGGGTCAGGCAATCAATGGGGCCTGAATTCCGGGCCCTGGCCATGGTGCTGAATCCGTGCTCCACAAACGGGTAAGCCGCCCCAGGTGAGAGATTGCGCCCCTAGAGGCACTCCTGTCTTACAAACGCGGTGCCCTGTGCTCACCCCCAGGAAGCGGGAACCCCAATAATTCAGCACCAGCTGGATTCCCAACTGTCCCCCGCCCCCCAGCTCCCCTGGGTCTGAGAAGGAGCCGAGAGGCCATCTGTGCCTTTAAGAGCAAAACAGATCTTACGACCGGGCAGGTCTGAAAAGATGAGTTAACTCCTTCCTTTTCACGACAAGGTGTGGGGGAGGGGGCTAGAATAGACCCTCTAAGCCCCAGCCAGAGGAAAGCCCCCAGCCAGGCAGAGAGAAAGAGGAGCTGCGACCTAGAGGGCCTGTAGTATTCGAGAGGGAGGGCCTACAATGGACTACCGGGGCTGGAGGCTGGACCCCAGGAAGCGCTCCTCCTCCCTCCCCGCCGCAGCCGTCCCCTCCAAAAGGCCGCCTTTCCAGCAGTGCCCATTCCCTTCCCCATGCCTTTGTCTCTCTTCTCAGCCCTCCAACGGACCTGGTCTTTCTGGAAGAGAAAGAGGATGGATATTCCTAGAATTGGGGCTGGTGCTCCTGGGGCCCAAGACAGGGCCAGTCACCTCCAGGGAGAGCAGCCCGGCGTCTCCCGTCCTTTGGCCCCAAACCCCAGATTCCACCCTACAGTCTCTCGCCAGGTCCTCAGACCCCTTCAACCATCTCCTCCTCCCCCCCAGGATACTCTTCCCCAAGCCTCCTAGCACATCTGATTTCCCTGCTTTCTCCGGCTGTACCTTCTGCGAGCTGAAGGACTGGGTCCAGTGGTACAGAACCAGGCTCTCCTTGGGCCAATGGGCGGGGCTGGCTGCCTGGGGCGCGTCGGGGGCCTCCGCAGGCTTGGCCGCATCGCTCTCCAGCGCTGAGATGGGCCACCAGCTGCAGTTGGTGGGGGTCAGATTGTTGGGGGTCGCCATGACAGCCCAGAATCAGAGGAAGGAAAGAAGGAGGCTCAGGCAGCGGCGGCTCTCTCTCGCCCAGCATCACATGGCCTCGCCGAGCCTGCCCCTCTCCTTCTCTCCCTCCCTCCCCTCTCCGTGAATGTCATTACTCACTGGGCGAGTGGGGGAGGAGGCGAGGGGATCCCGGGAGCTCCTACCCTCCTCCTCCCCTTGGCCCACCCCTGGCCTGTTCCAGACACGCCCCCAGTCCTCTCCGTCAGGCTCCACAGAGCCAAGGAGAAGTGGGCCATGCACCTCAAACAGCTCATATCTGGCCAGTCACCTGCCCATGATTCCACCATTATAAATGCATTCTGCCTCTCAATCTCCTAAAAAGCAAATATTTCTTTAGGACAACTGGTATTATAGAGATCCAGTTCTTTTATAAATTAGTGTCTGGAAATAGCTTCTCTTCGAAACTGTTATTTTCTAACTTTTCTCCTGAAGAATCTCTAAAGGCAGAAGAGAACAAAGCATGTTTTTTGTGTGTGCCCAGGCGCTGTTCTAAGGGCTTCACACTCATTTAGCCTAATCCTATTAGCCTCATTTTACAGTGGAGGAAAGTGAGGTACAGAGAGGTTAAGTGACCTTGCCCAAGGTCACCTAGCTAATGAGTGGAACTGAGATTTGAACCCAGGCTGTCTGGCTCCAGAGTCTTAGCCATGTGCTCTTAGTCTTAAGGTCATAATAATGCGATATTAATACAAATGGCGGCACGGCACTTATCACCCCCAAGCACTTTATATGCATCATCTCATTTCCACCACAGAAGACTTTTTCCCAGATGAGGAAGGTGAGGCTCAGAGATGTCGCGTCACTGGTCTAAGGTCACATCTTCACCCCCAGGTAACTGACACACAACTAGAGGAGTCCAAAGAAAGCCTTAAATGCTTTTGCTATCACATAGTTTATCCCAAACATTCATGGGAACTTTAAAGTTCCTTAATATACCTTTGCTTCCCTTACTAGAAATAGTGTTTTAATTTATTGACCATTGAGCAAAAAGATGCACCAGGAATATAAGCTTCTCAGTTTGCTCCCTCCCCAACCCCCATGTCATGCTACCAAGTACTCCTACTAGGCACATTACTCTCCCGGACTGAAAAGCATGGCTCTTGAGGAATCAGTGGCCTTCCTTCTACCAAAGTTCTGTGGCCCATGGGTTTTCCTTCTTGCTTTGGCTGCCAGAAGGCTTGGAGTTACATTTTCTATTATGTCCCGTTTGCCACATTAGCCTCCCTGGTTCAACAAATTCTCTTTTTCAAAGTGCCTTGCTCACAGTTTGATTTTGCAAAGAAGCATATGATGTGTCTTGACGGAAAATTCAAAAGTCTATGAAATCAGAGGAGTAAGACCTTAGAAATTTGATCGAGGTGGAAAATCTGGTCCCCATCTGTGTCTTTGACTTGAATGTATCCAGGGAGCCAGATTCACAGCAGTCACACTCAAATGCCAAATGCATATTCATCCCCTCAACGAATATTGTGTACCCACTATGTGCTAGACACTTTGATGGCACAAGAGATATAGTGATAACATAGATACTGGTCTTTGCACTTTTCACTTAGCAATACATCTTGGAAAGAGTTTCCTATCAGCATAGGTCTACCCTATACTTCATAACAGCTTACACTGTACGTATGCACCATAATACATTTAACAACTCCTATTGATGGACAGATATAATGTTTATAATCTTTTGTTATAAAAACAATGCTCTAGTGAATATCTTTATTCGTATATATTTTGCACGTTTGAGAACAATCTGTGTGATAAACTCTTAGAAATGGAACTGCTGGATCAAAGAATATGTCATTGCCAAAGTTCCTTCTGATGAGGCTGTCTCAATTAAACTCCCTTCTAACAACCATGAAAGCACTCAGTTTCCTACACCTTTGCCAACAGCATATTTTTAAACATTTTCTTTTCGAATCTACGGGTGAAAAATGGTATCTCATAATTTTTATTTGCTTCTATTTTGCCTTTTTATTATAAAAAATGTATTATTAAAAACACATGAAACAGCAAACAAAATAGCTCAATGAATACCCATATATCCATCACCTAGATATAATCATCTAAAAAACTTGCCATATTTGTTTAATTGGGGAGGGCTTGAAGTATTTTGAAATAAATCGTAGGCATCATATTTCACCCACCAAATACTTCAGTATTAGATACTTTCTATTTAACATGTCATTTTCCTACATAAAACACTCTCACATTTAAAAAATTAACCATAAGGCCTTAATATCTAGTTCATATTCAAATTTCTCCAGTTGAACCAGAAATGTCTTCACAGCTCTTTTCAAAAAGATTCAATCAAGGATCATGCAATAAATTCTGTTGTTACATCTTAAGTCTCTTTTAATCTAGAATAGTCCTCACTCTTTATTTTTTCCCATGACATTGACTCATGAAGAGACTGGGCCAGTTGTCTTGTACAATGTTCCACTTTGGGATCTGATTGGTTATCTAGGTATCATTTAACTTGTCATACTCTCCCCTGTATTTCCCATAAACTAGTACTTAAATCTAAAAGCTTTGATTAGATTCAGGTTAAATATTTTGGGGGCAAGAATTTAATACTTCATGGGTGGTGCTGTGTGCTTCATTCTGCCTCATCAGGAGGTCCATAATGTTTTACTGTCCCACTATTAATGATACCAAGTCTGATTACTAGGTTAAGGTGGTGACCACATCTCTCCATGTTAAATGTCCATTTCTCCTCTTCCCGCCAGAACCTTGTGGGTATCCAGTTCCTAGTCTATTGATGGTCCTTGATTGAATCAATTGTCAGAGGTTGTTAAATGATTCTCTAATTTTATCTTTACATCTGCATTTATCAACTGGCATTCTTTATTTGAATTTCATTAATTATGAATGAAATTGACCATCTTTTCAAATGTTTAAGAGCCATTTTAATTTCTTTCCCAGCAGACTGTGTTTCTGTGGGGACCTGGGCAATTACAGCATGGTGTGATGAGTGCTGTGACTGAGGTGAAGACGGGTTGTGGCAGAGGTGAGAAGGAACATCGAGCTTGCCCTGCCTCCCCGGGTGCAGGATATGACAGGGGAGGCTCTTGGTTTGGGTTTTTCTGAAGCGGACCCTGAGACAAGAATTCAAGGACAAGCAGTTACTTTGGGAGGTGAAGGAAACCTGGGAAATGAGACAGGAAAGGGAGTGAAGGAAGGTGTGTTGTCAAGCAAGTTAGTGCTGAGGGTGACTGGAGTTTATCCCCATGGGGAAACTGAGGCAGGTGTAAAGCACCTGGGCATTATCACACCTGAGGAGGAAGAGAGCTGGGGTATTTATATACCCTGTCATGTCGGTCATTGCTCTAGGGTTGCTCCTGGGAGAGAATTAATTCTCCAGCACTCTGGCCTGCCCTGCAGTTGGTAGAGTGGGTTCCAGTGACCACAGGCAATAAATGTGGGTGCTGTCAGCTGGTGGTCAGCCAGTGTGCAGTGAAATGGTGAAAGTGGGGGACACAGATAGGGCACTGTAAACATCTGCTCAGAGACCTCTAAGTAGAGACTTTAAGGATGAGGAGAAATTAGCTAGATTCTGAAGAGAAGATGGGGAAAGGGATGTGTGCTCCAGGCAGAGAGGAGCAGGTGCAAAGGCCCAGAGGTGAGTGCGAGAGTGGTGTATTTGAGGAAATCTGGCTGGAGGCAGAAGAGGTGAGGCTGAGTGGTCATACCAGGCCTGTTAAGCCACCTTCAGGTGTCATCATATGCTGAGGGCACTGGGGAGTCACTGGAGAGTTTTAATCAGGGATGTAGCATCCAGTTTGGGTGCTGGAAATCTGAAAAGGCCTGAAGTATATATACCAACATTCCAATGTATTAATTCACACTAGGTGTTGGCGTTCCTTGCCAGTGATGGAATTATTCCTGCCCTTCCTCCACGGCAAAGTAGGGATGGACTCAGCTACCAAAAGGTTATCATTGAATGTGAAGTTGACACAGTGAGATAGGAGTCTTAGGGAAATATTTCACTTGGATCCACTACTGCCTGATTATAATTGGCCCTATAATACAATAACAGCTATGCGGGTTTCCATATACCAGATACTGTGCCAAGCGCTTACAGTCATTCTTTTAATTGAGGTGACATTGTTATTACCCTGATAACACGAATGAGAAAACTGATGCTCAAGTGGATGAAGCTATTATTAGCCCAAAATCAAGAGCTGACAAACGCCCAAGTCCATAGAAATAGAACTCTAAGTGTCCTGACAATAGGGTCTTAGGTAAATAAGAGTAAATCCATGAAACAATTTATATCCACTAAATGAGAAAGGTTACAATGAAAAGGTTACAATTAAAAACAGATTACAATTATATAAAAACAGATTACAATTATATATTACTCTAAAAATCCTCTTTAGCTGAGGTTATTATAATCTTTAAAATGTAAAAAAAAAAAAGCAAGCAGGTTACCAGAAAAGTATGTACAGTTCAATTTTTTTAAACATATAAATTACAGACAGATTGTCAATAAAAGTACTTATGTGGTTAGACTGGAGCAAGGAGATCATAAGTGACTTTTTAAAATTAAATTTTCTGGTTTTCCTACTGTTGTGGACTGAATTATATCCCCACAAAAATCCATATGTTTAAGTCCTAAACCTCAATGTGACAGTATTTGGATACAGGGCCTTTAAGGGGGTCATTAAGGTTAAATTTGGTCATAAGGCTGGGGCCCAAATCCCCCCAAAATGGTGTCTTTATCAGAGGATCAGACACCAAGATCTTTCCTCAAGTAAGCACCAAGGAAAGGCCACGTGAGGACATAGTGAGAAGGTGGCATGTGCCAGTGAGGAGTCTCACCAGAAACCAACTCTGGTGAGATCTTCATCTTGGACTTCCCACTTCTAGAGTTGTGAGAAACTACATTTCCGTTCTTTAAGCCACCCAATTTGTGATATTTTGTTATGGCAGCCTGAGTGGACTTCTGCACCTATAATGGAAGTGCATTATTTATATCTGTTAAAAAGAATTCAGAGTTGTTTTTGAAAAAATATACTGCTTGATTTCTACCTTATACTCTTGGGGGCAAGCTGGCCCTGGTCCTTGAACAATAGGAGAAAGGGAAGGAATTCATATAGCCTGACTGTCCTTTAGCCAGACCCTTTACAGAAATCCCATGAGAAGGGTACTAATGTCCACACCTGACAGATGCGTAAACTGAGGCTCAGAAAACACAAAATGTTACTCGAAATCGAACCAGGAAGCTAGGAAGCAGCAGAGCGGGGGTTGGTATCTGAGCCCCAGACACACCTGAGTTCTCTTCTCCTCACACCACTGTCTCCACACAGAAGATGCTGAAATGGTCACAGACGTGGGTGGGGTGGACATGGCTGACACCCTTCAGAGTGTAAGGATCACTTGATGGATTCTGCTTCTAAGTTTTGGGCATATGAATCATTCTGAGTTAGAAGTTACCTGAAGGAATTACTGTGAAAAGCCCTAACAGTGAATGAATCTAACTTCCACATCTATTACATCAGGGCCCGCGGACTCAGGAAGCTACGGAGACCAGAGAAATGCCAGAAATGCCGTAAATGTGAGGTCGACCAGGTACGAGTCGACAGGGTGTGGCGGAGACTAACGAATAGAACACTTGTTCTTTTCAGCTGCTCCTGGGTATAGCCAATAAGCTATTCTGGGTTTTTAGGAACGTGGGAATCTGGATGTTTGCTGTGAAATTGCTCATTTTAAAATCTGTTGATAAATTTTTTAACAAAATAGAACACTAGTGCAAGTGTAACAAAACCTATTTGTGAGTTCGTGGATGGGATCTAAACCCTGCTATTGTCTGTCTGCAGCCTCTGCTTTAGAATATTTAATTTTTGCCACAATCATGGAGGGAGTATGTTAGTTAATACAGCACTAGCTACTGTAACAGATAAACTGCCCAATCGAGCAGCTTTACACAGAAGCTTATTTTTTAATCACGTCAAGTCCAATTAGCAATTGGACTTTAATCACATAAAGTCCAATTAGCAGCATGCGAGGAGCAGGGCGTTCTTCCAACTTCCCATGTGGCTTCCAAGATCACCCAGGCACTGATAACCAATGGGCACTGGTATCCAGTGGCCATTGATATCCAATGCACAGATTGTGAAGAGCGAGCAGAGGACCATGTGATCACTCCTAACTCTGCCCACGGTCCATTGGCCAGAACTTAGTCCTGTGGCTGCCCCACGTGAGAGCAAAGTGGAGCTGGGAAATATAGTCCCTGGCCTGTGGCAGCCACTTTCCAACAACTCTATCCTACGGAACCGGCACACAGGATTCTGGGGGATGGTGACCCATCTCTAGCTCATGCAGCTATCATCTCCATTTTACAGATGAAGAAACGAATCTCAGAGAGGCTAAGTAAGCTGTGAGGAGTCACACAGCCAGCATTGTCTTTCTGCCTCCAGTCCAGGGACCTTTTTGCTACCTCAGTGTTTCCCGATCGATCGGCTGCGACACTTGTTACACAGATAGGTTCTTGGACCTCGGCCCAGGCCTTGAATCTGAATGTTCAGGGTGGAGAGTGCTAATCTGTACTTCATCGAGAATCCCAGATGATTTTACATCAGCCACTACACTTTATAATCATCTGGGGAGCTCTGTGAAATCCTAATCTCTTGGCCCGACCCCTAGGAATTCTGATTAAATTGGTCCGAAGGAGGGGCCCAACATTTTATAAAACTGCCAGGTGACTCTGTTGTTCAGCCAGGGCTGGGAACCACAACCTCTGCTGGGACACCAAACTGGACTGTCCATCAGAGTCACCTGTGGGAGCTTTTCAAACTAAAGCAGAGAGAGAGAAAGGGAGAGAGAAGGAGGGGAGGGAGGAAGGGAGGAAGAAAAAAAGAGAAAAAGAAAGAGGCAGAAAAGAAAGATCAATGAGTGAGCCTCTACCCTGGAAATTAGCATCAAAAAGAAAAAGACAAAGAAAACCAAAAAAACCCAACTCTTCAAGTGATTCCAATGTGCAGTCTGAGTGGAGACCTACTGAATGAATGGACCAGAAGATTCTGAATCAGTAGGTTTGGGTGAGCCAAATTTTCTATATTTTTAGAGCACCCCAGAGGGGTTGCGATACCACTGTCCTAGGGCTTTGTTACTCAAAGTATGGTGTGAAGTATCAGCACATCCCTGGGAACTGGTAAGAAATGCAGAATCTCAGGCCCTACCCTAGATCTGCTAAATCGGAATCCATAGTTTAACTAGACCAGACCCCCGGAGATTAGCACACACCTCGGTGTGAGAGGTGCTGATCTAATGCACGCAGGCTCTTTCTGGGGTGTGCAGCAGACTAGGTCCTCCAGTCAGAGCTGGCTCATCTTCTCTCCCAGCCCCACTCATCTCTTTGAACTGCGGAAACTTTTCAAGTGTCACCAGCATAGTCCATCCTCAAACGTCTGGGCCTTGCTGCCCCCGTGCCCTGGCCATCTGTTCAGGGACACTCTGCTGGAAGCTCTGGGCATGCACACAGTTTGATGAATCAACAGGTGGCTTGCAGGCCCTTCCTGCCAGAAAAGGACATCACAGACGCTGGGTACTGACTCGAGGACCGGACCATGGGATCAGGTGCACTTCGGATCTGCAGGTTAGAGAAGACGACAGACTTGTTTTGTGAGGTTCTGGGACCAAGCAGAGGATGTCATGGGGTGGGGGAAGGTTGCAATTTGATATAAGGATAAGTTTCAAACAAGCAGGGAGAAGTCGCATTGAGGGTAGTAAGCTTCCTGTTCCCTGAAAAGAATAAGCGGAACTTGAATGGCCTTGATTCAGGAGCACCTGGAGGCAACCTCTGGATTGGATGTAAGCCGGAAAGAGACCTCGACTCAAGGCTGAAACGTGCAGGTCACTCAAAAGGCAGGGAGGCTGGGTCAAAGAATGAGAAGAGCACAGCGAGTGAGATAATTCAGAGTTCTACTATGCCAGTCAGTCACAAAAGCAGCCTTGTTAAACAAACTACTGTTTGTGCATGAAATAATTTGTGTTGGTCTCCACTTGTTTGAAAGCTCAATGAGGTCAGTGGCTGGGCTACCTGTTGGAATCCACAGCACCTGGCACAGGGTCTGACGTATTACAGCATGTAAATGTAAATGGCTGAAAAGAAGCATTAACCCCTTGTCTCTCACTGGTAATTTTTGTGCACTGTAGATAATTTGGCCTTCTTTTGTGCCCTTTCATTCATTTTTGGCAAGTGTTCAAATTGTGTTTTTGTTTTCTCATAAAGTTCTTACTCTTTTTCATCCAGCTTGTATCTGCACGGAATTCTTTGTAAAGGTAAGACAACTAAAAAATCCTAAATGGCCCACAAAAGGCATTCAAGATCTCTCTTCCCCCAAAGCCCACCCACTGATCCAAGAACTTTTTATCTGTACAGCTCCCAATGAGACGCCAACAGCATGGTATCTGAGTAGATTGATTTACGGGTGTTTTCTATGAACTACTTTTTGCTTTGCTCTTTCTTATGACTTTTTTTTTTTCCTGTTCTGAGCATCTATTACTTTCAAGTAAGAAAAACTAATCAACTGGAAGTGGACTGTTTTTAAACTCTATTTTAAATCTCTAATTCATTTTAGTCAGCTTTATCTAATCGGCAATGTTTTTGAGAAAATTGCAAATTGAGAACAGAATGAATGCTGCCAATAAGCAGTTAGCAAGGAAGCTGAGGCCCAAAGGAGAGCGACTGATCTGTCCCGGGGTGCACGGCAAGGTGGGAGGAGAACCCAGGCCCTGGCGTACAGATGGGTGTTCTTTCCCTTCCATCACTGCTCCCCTTTCCACTGTGAACCCCTTACCGCTTTCTCTCTGAGTCAGCAATGCAGGGGTGTCACGGGCACTCATGGCCTCATAGATGTACACTCCATTGCACTGACACAATCTGTGCAGATTCCAGAGAGTGGAGAGAGCCATTAGACCAGGCAGCCTCCACACGTGCCTTTACTTACTGGAAAACCACGGCAGGCTGCAGATCAAATGCACAGAACTGCTGGCAGAATTCCTATTCCTGGCACCAGCTGTCTGCCCACTCTGAGAGTCTGCTGTTGGGCGATCTGCAAAGGCTGCAGGCGAGTCTATGCCACTTCTGCCACGTGGGACATTTTCTTGGGAGTATCCAGGTATTACCGACAAGTCCTCCACGGACACTTCCTCCAGGAGTCCTCACCATGCTGGGCAGGGGTTAGGACTGGGCTCCACTCCTTTCCCACTTGGCAGGACCTAGTGGAGGGAATGTGAACATATTCGTGTGGTGCCAGAGCCTCTGCCGGCAGCTCCAGGCTTCGCAGAAGCCCCAGGGGCTGGTCTTGGCTTGACTGTGATGGCCTGGGAAATTCACGGGATCTCAGGTTTCACAGCTGAGAAATGAGCATGAGGCTTTTCTTCTGGCGTCTGGGCAGACGAGTCCACAGTGGGTGTTCTGGGTCAGCACAGGATACACTTGTTCTGGAGCCCTGGTCTGTGGTGAGGGGTATCTCTGGGCTAAGATGATTCTCAGAGGTGGCTTCAGGTGTGGGTGTCCACTGGGAGAAGGTGCTTTGAAAGAGCAATAGAGAAATTCTGAAGGCCAGAGGATGGGAGACTTGAAACTGAAGTACTGACAACTTCTCAAAGCCCGTATTGAAGACTTCTTTCTACACCTTTTTCAGGAAAAAACAAGCAGGCACTTACATGATTAAATCTTAAGAACAGACTGCATAGTAATAATCAAAGAGGTATAGATTTTTCAAAATCTTTAATGGCTTTTCAAAAAAATATAAGAGTAATACATATTCATTATAACAAATTTAAATAATATATAAAGTAAGAAGTAAAAATAACTTCATTCTGCTGAAGAGGTACAAGGGAAAATAAAGTACCCTTTTTCTAACTACCAGATTGGCGAGATTAAAAAAGAATGTCTATATCCAGCACTGGTGAGGGTGTGGTCCCAGGTCTGTCAACCTCAGCACGACCCACGCAATCCTTTGTTGTGGGAAACTGTCCTGCTTACTGAAGGATGTTTAGCAGAATCGTTGGTCTCTACCCACTAGATACCAGTAGCATCTTCATCACTACCTCTCAGGCTGTGACAACCAAAAAGCATTGTTAATGTCCCTTGAAGGGTGAGTACAAGATCATCCCTGGCTGAGAACCACTGCAAGCAGATGGGCACTCCCAACACCACTGGTGGGTGCGGAATCTGGCAGTTTGACATATCAAATGTTAAAATTTGTGTCACCAGCAACTTCACCTCAAAATATATTTACAAGAGTACAAACTCGTTTGACAAGCATTTTCACACAGCACCACTGGCAATATTTTAAAAAATTGGTAATGATCCAAATGACAGTGGCAGGAAATTAGATATATCTGCAAAATTCCCAGACACAGAAAAGAATTCAAGAGCTCTGATGTAGAGAGGTCGTCAAGATAAAATTGTTAAAAAGAAAAAGCAAGGTGCAGAACAGTGTAGAGGACATTTTTGTAAAATTTAAAGAACAAAACTGTATGAACAAGTGCATGTGTATATATAATGAAAAAATACGTACATATAAATCTGTATGTATGTATATTTTTAAAAGCTGGAAGGAGGTGTACTAAACCACTCAGCAGGATGAAGAGCTGCACAGGGGAGCACATGGAATTTTCTATTTCTACCTTAAATATTTCAGCATCACTTGCATCATTTTACAACAAGAACACTGTAAAATAATAAAGATAAAAATAAGAAGTAGAAAAGGAAAAAAGCAGAAAAAGAGAGGCCCCCTCACCGGCATCCTATCTACCTTTTCCAGGAGTAAACCCAGCTTTAGGGGCTCCTCGTGCTCACACTTTAAAGTCCCCTTTAAAGTTCCCGAGGCAGCAGACATATGCGCCACCTCACCAGATCCTTAAAGCAATTATTCTAAGTTGGCAGAGAGGGGTAATTATTTCCATCTTGCAAATGGGGAAGCTGAGACTCAGAGTGCAGTGACTTGCCCAAGGGCCCACCAACAGGAAGTGGTGGCCCTGGAGAGAGTAAGAAGGAGCCCATGTCTCTGGAGTCCCGTTGACCTCTCCCGTGCGTCCTCCAAAGTTATGGGAGTAGGTCCAGCCACAGGCTCGTACAGCGACGGGCCTGACATGCTTGCCCGGCTCAAGCACTCCTACCTGTGGCTTCTCATCCTTCAGCTCCTCTTCAGCTCTTATTCCTTCAACCAAAGCTGGTATCCATCCTCCCAAAGTAATTTTCATCCTTCCAGCTCCCTTTTGCCAAAGACGTCGTGCTTTGCGAAGACCGGGGACTTGAGATCGGCCTTGTCGCTCCTCAGCTCAACAAGAAGCTTCACCTCTCTGGGCCTCATCTGTAAAATGGAGATAAACATACCAAACTCCCAGAGTTGTTTTAAAAATCAAAGCAATCATATATGTGGATGCATTCTGTAAAATAATAAAGGACTCGGAAAGACATTAGTTAATTTTAACAAAATTAAGTTCTAGCTCTTTCTGTGGAGTTAGAATAACACCGGTAGAGTACAAGTGAGAGTACGTTGAATGGAAATCTGAATTTGAAATTTGGCAACACATGTTGAGAAGGCCACACACACAGTTCAGATAATGGGCGAGTCCATCTAAGTTCATACCTTACCTGAGCCAGGTTCTCTTAGAACTTGTTACTGGACTTTGGGACCTGCGCTGTCACCAGAAAGATATACCACAATGCTAAACATTTTCAGGCAGGGAGAACAGGGAAACAAGGAAACCTAAAGTACTACCAGCCCTATGGGTTATACTTCCACCCACAGGAAATGGACCTGCCAGGAAGCAAGTTGTTATGTCTGTCCAGGGTTTATGAGACTGCTCGGTTAAACTATTAACATTATAAAAAAGCAACAAATGCAGAAGCATCTTGAGCTCGGGATCATCTACCATCCCAGTGAAATGTGATAAAAGTGACCAAGTAAAGGAATGGCAGCAACAACAGGTAGACTTAAGCTCATGTCACTGCCGGAGGGGGTATGGCAGTGTGGGCCCTGAGTGTATGAATGGTTGATAACCCTTCTTTTATGCAATTTATTGGTGCATTACTGGAGACTTAAAATAGTTCATATTTTCTCACCCAGGGGTTGCAGGTGTAAAATTCTATTCTAAGAAAAAAATCAGACCCATGCTCAGATGTATATCAATACACACACACATACATTTTTATATGTATATATACACACGAACAAGGATTTTCAGCTCAGAGTTCTTTATTATAGCACACACACACCCCCCAACTGTCCAAAAATAATAAAGAAATGGTTAACTATAGGAGAAATTATGGATATATTTAAATGATGGACTATTATACAGTCATTAAAATCATGTTTTTGAGGACTATTTTGTGACATGAAAAATGCTTATAATAGTTAATGAAAAAAGCAGAATATAAAACTGTATATAGTTTATCAGCAATTAAACTGTATACATTAAAATAATAATAAAAAAATAATAATAATAGCAGCTAACATTTATTGGATGCTTACTACGAGCCATGCAGCATCCTATCACATTACTCACTCAGTTCTCGCCAAGCCCGCTGAGATGGGGAGTATCATTACTCCACTTTTCAGAGGAGTAAAGAGAGGCACAGGGGCTTGGGAAGAGTGTCCAAGGCATCACAGAGGAGTGGGTGTGGGGAAGCAGGACTTCTAACAGAGCCAGGTTGGCTCCCAGGTACTCTGCAACATCATGGCACGATGCTGACAGTGGTCATCGCCACGTGCGAGGGCCGAAGGACATACAATTTTCTTCTTTATATTTCCCAAATTTCTACAGAGGTAATTTTTTGTTAACATAAATTTTTTTTTTTATTATAAAAATAAATTAACACATTAACGACACTTTGGAAGTGTCGGGGTGGGGGGAATTAAATAACCCAGGAACCAGACGGATGGGAAGTGGTGAATCAAATTCCATTTGATTTCATTATACTGAAAGGGACCAGGAAAGGCCAGAAGACTAGGCTTAGAGGGGAAGATAACCCATTCAATTCTGTACATATTGCATTTCACCAGGTGTCTGTGGGACATCCACGTGGAGATGACCACTAGGATAAGGGACACAGAGGGGTGGTGAGAAGGCACATAGGCTGAAGATCCGGCTGTGTCAACAGCAAGCAGATATCACCAAAGCTGTGGAAGACATTTGCTGTTTCTGCCTGCCCTTCCCTCACTCCTTTGGGTAACAGCAAGACAATTTTTCCTTTGGAGAAGTACCCTACCCATTTAATGTGGTCTCGGTGAGACACTCAAAGTGCCCCACCATCCAAGAGGTGGGCGCATCTGTCAAGCTAAAGAACACTTTTTGAGATCAAAACCAATGTATTTTGTTGCTGATAATTTTTAATTCCTAGTCAGCCCGCAGTTCCCCAGCCATTTAATAATTGGCCTTTGGTGCTCAAGGATCCATCACTCAGCTCTGAGTTTGAAATCTGGTTTCCTTGAGTCCACAGTGAGAGAAGTCTTAAATCTGGCTTTGTTAAGGGAAAAAAAAAAGGTTTCCTAATTTCCAAACCCTTCTCTTTGCAAATCAAGAGTATAACTGGGGGGTGAGAGTACAGAGCTTTTCTATGAGTCAGAGAAGAGATGACACACGGTAAGATAAGAGAGAAGTTCCCATGCTGCAGGAAGGGACAAAGGCCTTCTGGGCCTGCCCAGGAGAAAAGGCAGGACAAGAATTCAGATGCTGGTGTTCTGGTCCCTCCTCCTCTAAGGTCAAATCCCCCGAGTGGGGCTGAGAAGCACCTAGACAGGCTTGGGGGACAGTGGTGCCCATTCCCTGAGCAGAGCCGAGGGAGAGCCCCATGCCAGCCGTGCCACAGCACCGAGTGGGCACTTAAGCTGTAAGAGCAGCCCCAGGAGCTGACGGGATGGACAACAGCGGCTCCATTCCCCTTGACCTGTGTGCCCGTACGTGATCTGGAAGGGTGCACTTCTGTGGATGTGCTCAGTGGACTGATGGACGAGGAAAGGCCAGGAAACAAGCTGTCAGGACTGTGGCCCACGAAGACCTCATGACAAGAAACACTGGTGATTTTTACGATGCTAAGTAATTTCATGTTTCTGCTCGGGAACTAAATCAGGTGGGTTCCACCAGAGTCCATAGTACCTGAGG